GGCCAGAGATAACCAGACAGCATTGCCTGTGAGGAGAACTGTTCTCCCAGCTACAATAGCCATGGTTTTTAGCCTAAAACTCAAGGATGTGCTTCACCTGTGGGGAACCTGAGCAGCCACTGCCGCCACTAGGCCTGGCAGCTGGATCAGTGTGTTCGTTTTGAAATGTTAATATGTTAAATACCAAACTAATATTTCAAAATATGTATATATGATTTCTATATCCTGATTTTTCAGATAGCCTGCTTATAATTTAATATAAAAATAACTAAGCTGATTCATAAGATTTTAGTAATAAAAGGTTGCTCCCTTTTTAAAGAATAAAAACTACTTTGTAGATTAAAAATAAATCAGATTTTCAAATTAAAAATTATCAGCACACTAGAAAATAGAACTGTATTAATATATAAGAAACTGAAAAATAAAAATGAAGGAATTTTTTATCATACTCATTTTATAAATTAGCCACCTGTGAAATGTTTTTTGCACATTATTTGTATTTTTCTTTGTATATGAAATAATTTTTTGTACTTTGTAAAAATGGAGCTCATTGTGCTTTCAGCTCTTTGAGACTGTGCTCACTACTGCTTTTGTAACTGGATTCTTTTAACTTCCATGAAGGCATTACAGGCCGTATGTTCACTAACCACCCGGAATTAAATTTATTTCTTAAGAAAAGAACCTCTTGTGTACTGTGAAGTCACGTTCACTCTGCACTGAATAGAACCACGGTTCCATCTGAACCATGACCCGTTTGGACCTTGGAAGCAACAGAGATGCTGGACCGCAGCCATGAGCTCCTGGGTCCTGGCCGTAGTCCTGCAGCATTTGGGGGAAAGCCTGAGGCATCCTCTCGGCTCTCCTAGTAAGCTGTGCCAGGCGGCCACGCTCCTGCCTCTCCTCAGCCACACTTCACTGCCTGTGCTGTGTGGGAGATTATAACGGTCGCAGGCAGAAGACACTGAAGTTTTGCTGGACCACAGACTTCCGGGTTGGCAAATTGGTGTCAGTAGTAGACACTCTGGTTAATTCTTTGGAGTTTACCTCACACAGCCCAAAGGAATGCTGGCCCTTACCTCAGCCCTCGGCAGGTCAGCATGCTCCAGGGGCTTCAGAGCCCTGGCTGAAGCAGTGCCAGCTGGGAAGGGGGTGGGGGGGGGTCACAGGCCTCCTCAGTGGCCAGCTTAGCACTTGAATGATGCCCTGCTGTGTGCCTGCAGTTCAGTTAGGAGGGCAAATGGAAACGGGGCTGAGCAGGTTCTGTGCGCTCAGTACTGGGCTGCTCTGTATAGCTGCAGTCAGAACTAAAGGGGAAGGACAGACAAAAGCCAAGGCTGTCATAGGGCCTACCCGCTCTGGAAAGATGCAGCCATGGTCCTTGCCAGCATAGGTCCCATTGTAGCCAAGCCCAGATCCACTATCCCACTCCAGAGCCAGTGCTCACTGCTAACGGCTGGTTCCCTCCAGGAAACTGACATCTTTAGTTACTTTGTCCTGACTTACGAGTTACTAATACCATAGTAGGATGAAGACTTTGTGAGGGAAGCTAAGATGCTGGGCAGGCATTGCACTCAGTGGGATCATGGCTGTGCGCCTTCACACACTGCCCTATTGTCAGTGGTGTTCTTTGTATAACCTATGTATCTAAAATGCTCCTTCAGAGTCGTCAACACAAAGGCAATAATGAAATGTTTCATGTTTTGTTCACACTAAGTCCTCAAAAGCCAAGGTGTATTTTAGCACACATCTCGGCTCAGACTAGGGCTGTCTTTTCTTAGATAGTAGTTCTAATGTTCCAAACACATGTCATTCCAAGTGGCTGTCCAACGTCAGTTCAGTTTTGATACTGCCTAGAGATAGCACAGACTGCATGGGTGCAGGGCTCGGTCCACGAGGCCATCCAGTTGTACATCTGGATGCTACCAAGCCCTGTCCCTAGACTCAAGAATTTACCAGAGCAAAACACAGCACTGAAAGAGGCACATCTGCCAGCTTATCTAAGAGATATAAGCCTGGGCGGCTAGATGGAAATCACACAGGGCATAAGGTAGGAGGGCCACGGCGGAGCACCTGCTGGCCAGTCAACCCTGACCTCTCCTAATCTGATTGTTGGGGAGTTTCAATTACTCCAGCCACATGACCACCCTAAGATAAGGGAAGGACTAGAAATTCCCACCCCCTCTTCCCGTCCCACCTTTCTGGTGAGGAGCCCTTGTCCTGAAGCTACCTAGCAGCTCTGTCATGCATCACCCTTAGCACGAACACAGATGAGGTTAAAGAGGCTCATTATAGATACAAGACCCTCCTGTCACCCAGGGCATTCCGGGAGTTTTAGCAGTTCTGCTTGCACAGCCCTGTGTATTGCACTGTGGACGTCCACAAAGCTGCTCCATAGAGGACGCAGTCGAGTCCATCTGGCGCCTGCGCATGGTAGAGCATGCATGCGGAAGCGCCGGCAACAAGACGCTTGGGTCGCTCTTTCAATTCACTGTGTGTGTGACCTTGAACCAGCCCCTTATTCTGCTGGGCTTTGACCCATGACATAAAGGACACATGAAGCCGAAGAGGTTTTGCCCATTTATAAGAGTACATGATAGTCCAGGTTCAGTCTGTCATTGACTCCAAATGCAAACTATACCTTAGCAAGGACTTACATTCCAAACCGAAGTTTAAAAGAGCTACCGAAGAGAAAATACACTAGTCCTCTTGTTAAAATGAAGATTGCGGGGATCGGGGCGCAGCTTGGCGCGCTTAGCATGCGCCATGCATGTCCCCATCCCCAGCACCAAAGCAATTAAGGATTGACTGAACAGGTCTGGGTTGAAGCTGCCATATTTCTAACTACAGGGTGACCCCGGAGTAGCAAGCACGCTGTGTCCATCCTCGGGGAAGCAGACAGCACTGAGAGGACATGCAGAAAGAACCAAAAAGCCCCTATGTCAACATAACCTTTGCTTCATCTTCCAGGGATACCGGGCTGTTCTGAGCATAGGTTGCTTTCCCTAATTGCACAGGGCAAGTCAGCTGCCTCATGACCACATTCCAGAGATCTGAACGCCCAGTCCAAAGACACAAGCTCCACCCAGGGTTGCGCTAGACCAGGAGGGTTACAGGAAGAGTGCAGTCAACCCCAGTTGCCGTCACACTCCCGATGGCTAATGGCCAAAGGCCAGTAGACAGGAGGAGGGACTGCCGCATGCCCAATGGGACCGAGCTTGACACTCGCCCTGCCCCATAGGGGCGCTCAGCGGCCGCCTGTCTTACTATTGGGCATTCAGTGGAGGAGTACATCTGTTTTTATTGGTATGTGAGAGTCCTGTGCAGGCGGCAAGGACTGGCACATGTGAGCTGTACTATACTGGGCACTTTCTGTGGGCATCAGCGTGTAGTGCAAAAACCACATGCTAGCCGGTGGTGGTGGTGAGGCAGAGGCAGGTGGATCTCTGCGTTTGAGTTCCAGGACAGCCATGGCTACAAAAATAAAAGGAAAAACAAAAACCCTCTCAGACACACAAACCACGTCAAGCCGGCTTGACACGCACCTCTGCCCCACCCCAGCTCACCTCTCAGACCAGCTTTTACTCTCAAGCCTCTGACCTCATGTCCAGTCTTTTGGCCACATTCCAGGAACACGTATGTATGCTCACTGCCTTGCACTACTTTTTTGTATACACAAAAGACAGGCACTGCTCGCAGCCCCACCTACAGGTGAGATTTTTCCCTATCTTAATTTTTCACATGTACTTGGGGATGAGGGGATCCGCATGCTTGTATCTTGGTGTGTTGAGGTCAGAGGACAACTCTGTAGGACTTGGGTCTCAGCTTCCACCGTGTAAATTCTGGGAGTGGAACTCCGGTCGGTCATCAGGCTTGGCGGCAGATACCTTCAAATGCTGAACCACCTCACCGGCCCCCCTGCCTTTTATACTACAGTCAGGAGGCCACCGTCCATCTTGGTCCCATTAACCAGGTAATCCTATCCATAAGCCAAACTCGGGCTTTTCCCTCTCCATCACACAGGACTAACTAGCCGTATGTACAGGCAAGAGAACAGGCTCTGGTCACCTCATTGAGCTTGCTAGTTCCCTCTGGCCCACACCCAGACTCACTCCTAGATAGACCCTTTCTGTTCCAATGGACTGCTGAGCCCGTTTCACTTTGACTTTGTGAACCTGACAGGATCCTGCTCGGGACTGCATAGCCACCAGTGTGCAGACCTCTGTGGCTGGGTGGCCTGAATATAGGAGCCCTAAATCCTATATAGCAGTTTTTGCACAAGGTCTGCCCCAAACTCACCCAGAGTGGCAAGTGATATTTGATGGCAGCGCTGCTTGCACCACAGCCTGGAACTTGGGCTGAGTTCTTTCCTCTGTGGGCCCTCTGCAACTGCGTTCTTCCACACCACCATTAACACCTTGCCTCCAATCTCCAAGGAATCGCCTGGCAGTGTTTTGTTGCAGCGTTTCTTTAGCCTGCAAGGGGATATCCCAGCATAGAGTACGCTTAACTACTGGTTCTCAGCCGGGCATGGTGGCTCATCGCCTTTAATCCCAGCACTCGGGGCAGAGGCAGATCTGGTCTACAAAGTCCAGGACAGCAGGGATCCGTTACACACAGAAACCGTCTCAAAAACCCAAAACCAAACAAAAGAAAAAAGTGATTTTCATCTTCTTAATGCTGCAATCCATTAATCTAGTTCATGTTGTGGCAACTCCCAACTATAAAATTATTTCATTGCTACTTCATAACTGTAATTTTGCAACTGTTATGAATTGTAGTGTAAACACCCGATATGTGATCCTTGTAAAAAGGTTGTTCACTCCCCAAAGGGGTCATGACCCACAGTTTGAGAACCACTGCCTTAAAACCTTAACTGAAGCTAGTCTGCGTTGGCATGGGGTCCACAGCCTATAAAACAGGTTTCTAGACAAGGCACTTTATACCATTGACCAACTGTGATATCATTGACACATGAATGAATCAGAGATACAAGCTTAGGAGTAGTTTAACTATTTTATTTTTAACTATTTTATCTACCACCCTTCCAAACCCCCAACACTAGGTAGGAAAGAAGATTAGAGGGGAAAGGGGACGTAGATCTCTTTAGACTACTTCCTGCTGATTAGGGGCGTCGAGTTCCTTGGGGCAGGGTTGATCTTCTCCAGCAAAACATCCAATTTCTTCTACTTTGTCTCTTTGTGCAGGACCACTTGACAAACCGAAACTACTACAGCAACAGCAGGAGGAGCATTAACCTCCTCTGGAGCACACCCAGCCCCTCTCAGGGCTCTGGCATTTTTTCCCTCTGAAAAGTTCTCAGAATTCCAAATGTCAACTATCCTTAGCTGGCAAAATCACGCCCTTGCTAGTGCATGAGGCAAATCATAATCTCCTGCTGTGAAGCAGCCTCTTACCCCACACCTGGGATTAAAACAAAAACAGTCACATTAACATAGCTGGGTTTTTAAAGAAACCAAAACTCACTATATTCCCCCATTTATTAAAAAATGTTTTTTTCTCTACCGTTAATAAACTATATACAATAAGTAAAATTATGAGAGCTATCAGGTAAGAATTATGTTTACAATGTCCAGTCCATAGGTATTTGGCAACCTTAGAGAAAATATTCCATTATCTGTTCTATCCTGTTCAGTCCAAAGTTTACCTAAATCACTCTGACCACAATTTGCCTTTATCAACCTAAGAAAACTTTTTAAACCCTGAAACATTTTTAGATACTAAACTTAAGATTTTATATCTTTAATCTTAATAAGGAAAACTGTAAGGCTATAACTATATAGTCTTCAACCCCATCAGAGACCAGAGAAGGATAAATATTACCTGAATAAACAGGAAATACAGAGCAAGCATCTTCCAAAACTATAGAAATGACAAGAGACTGCTGTTTGCCTGGATAGTCACCCAGAACTCCTCTGGAATGTTGGAACATCCAATCTTCGATCTTCAGGCCAAGAAAATCTGACAGACTTATCTGTAAAGCAGGAATTTTGAAGGACTGGCCTACCTTGTCTCTGCAAAGTTGGACAGTCAATTTCCCAGTGTCCTGCTTGCCCACAGTTTGGACAGTTCGCTGTCAGTAGTAGAGATAAGGGCAGGTTTTTACCCAGTGGCCAGCTTTGAAGCAAACTCCATGTGGAGGTTCTTCGGTGCCCATCATATTTGAAGTAGATTGGGGTGCTGCCAGGAGCAGATATGTCTCGGTCAGAAAAGCCTTTTATTATTAAAACATCTTAAATGCCATAATTCTGTAGATCTCTGAAGAGTTTGAAGAGCATCTATAGCATATCTGAATAGATGTTTGTTGCTTGTGTCTAGGTATTTACTATCGGCTTAACTTTGAAAATGTATACAGGAGGCTAAATAACTAGAACTTAACAAGACAGGTGACTAACTCCTAACTGCGTTTCTAATTACCCTAAACAATTTACAGTAAGTAGCTTTCATAAGACTATAATTTTACATTTTTTTACATGAGTCACATATGTACAATACATTAAGAGTTGAAAATAACCTTAAATTTATACAATAATCCACACCCATGTAAAACTATGAGACTTGTTGCTTTCTTAGATATAATGCACCTTTTGTCCTATCATTCCTACATTCCCTCTTTAACTTTAAGGAGATACAATAATCTATCCTTTTTGTCCTTATATGCCTACTGTCCCTGAAGGCAAAGGACCAAAACTGCCAGTGGCTATTTCGTCAAGGAAACTTAGTTGCAGTTCCTCTACCTGTTTGTTAGGACATTATCAATGAACCAACCACTTTTGGATCAGTACTTTTTCCATAATCTGCTAATTCTCAGCTGTTCTTGTTGAAACAACTTGTACTTTAGCTGCTGGGCCTCCAGCTAGGGCTTCCAAAGCCACTTCCTGATTGCAGGAGATTACCTTGGATGTCCCTTCTGGACGTACATTCATTAGTACAATGGCACAAACCCCAAGAAGCTAGAAGTTAACAGGAACTCATTGCCACCAGAACTGGCTTTTTTGAATCGGTACTCGGAAAGTACCGTATTTCTCGCTTTTAGTGCACCGGGCATTTTGATATCTGATGCTTTTAGCCGCTACTGGGAAAGCTAATGGTGGTAACCTCAACTCCAGGCTGCCCCTGACAGCATACTGGGAAAGCTAATGGTGGTAACCTCAACTCCAGGCTGCCCCTGACAGCATAGTTGTTCAGAGTTAAGCCTTTATTTCAAAGGGGGCTGTTTTTCTTTAACCCTGTTGCCCTGTACAGCCTCCTCCTCCTAGCTTTCTGGCCCCTGGGCTGTGAGGACTTGAAAGTGCAGAGTCCGTTTCCCACTGTCACCCTGCAGGAAACTGCCTCTCTCAGCCACCAGGTCTGAACCCCTTTGTTCTGACACGATCCACTTCCCAAACACTTTCACATCTCCACCTGCAACCTCTCTAGTTGCCTCTCAGATCCCTCCATTTCTACTCATAATTTTTCCAGTTATTCAGACATTCTCCCAACCCTTTTTTGAGACAAAATATAGGAAGAAAAGCAAAAACATAAAATCCCTTCTAGGAGCAAAGCGGGAAAGAACTCAGCAGCAATGGTCACGATAAACTTTCTCGCTGACATCCTGAAACAAACAACTTGTTCCTTTGGATCCTGCCATCTCCTTCACAGCGTTAGAATTCCCATTCTCCGTAGCCACATGGGCACCACTTATAGCTCCTGGTTTTATTGGGGAGGATGGATTTTGTTTATTTTTTTTTTATTTGGGTTCTTATATCTACCACCCTTCAAACCCTTCTTCCACCCTAATTCCCTCCAAATCCCCAGCACTAGGTAGGTGAGAACGAAGGTTAGAGGAGAAAGAGGGCTACTTCTATTTAGACTACTTCCTGCCGATTAGAGACTTTGAGTTCCTCGGGGCAGGGTTGATCTCCAGCTGGATATCCAGTTTCTTCTGCTTCATCTTTGTGCAGGGCCACTTGACAAACCGGAACGTGCATACAGGTACCCATTCCATTCGGTCTTTGGACTATGATAAGCACAGGAGAGTTAACACAACCCACAGCAAAGCCACAAATGAGCCAGGTGATGGCCCACACCTTTAATCTCAACATCCAAGGAGGCAGGTGGATCTCAGTTCCAGAGCAGCCTGGTCTACATAGTCAGTTCCAGGACAGCCAGGGCTACACAGAGAAACCCCGTCTTGAAAACAGAAGCCCCACAAATGAACAACAATTATCTCAAGTGAATGTGAAGTACATCCCGGCCTGGGTGTAGTTGGTGTGTGTTTTGGAGGGGCTTTTTAACTCATTCACTTTACAGCCCCATTGCAGTGCCCCCCTCCTCTCCTCCTGGTCCCACTCCCGACTCTTCCCCATATCCTCTTCCCTTGTCAGAAAAGGCGAGCCCCCCCCTCCAACCCACTCCAGCACATTAAGTAGCATCAGGACTAAGCTTGTTTTTCTGTTTTGAAAGTCAATAGGAAATATTTTGTTTTTAATAAAACTAGAAATATGCATATTAGAGAAGGCAAAATCCTTATTTCTTTTATTACAATTTATTCACTTTGTATCCCAGCTGTAGCCCCCTCCCCTCATCCCCTCCCAATCTCACTCTCCCTCCTTCTCCCATGCCCCTCCCCAAGTCCACTGATTTCTAATTGGAAGGGAAAAGACACATTTGATAAATGAGACCACAAACTTCTCTCCTGTGGTCAGCCTAGAGCCTGCTTTTAATAAAGGTCTTCATTAACCTGTGCTAGGATGATCTCACATCTACACAGCTTCCAACAGGGACCACTGGGCAAGTCTTCAGTGGTCTACAGTCTCCCTCAGGGCCCATTGTGTATTGACAGGAATTGGACTGGTAAACACAAGTGAAAACATAGGGGCCAGCACCCGAGTCCTTTAGATTGCCAGTGGGGACACTAACTCTGGCAACCATTCCATTTTTATTTATATCCATCACAGGCAAGGCAGCAGACTGACCACTCAGGAGAGGTTGGTTTCTCAAACTGCTAATACCAGCGCCATGATAATGCTTTGAGTCTAGGTGTTAATGTCAACTCAAGATCCCTCTGCTACTCACTATTGCCTGCTCCTCTTCCCTGTAAACCCAAACACAAGTAAATGGCCATATACATGCATTGCAGGATAATTGATCACACCGTGTGTGAGCGTGTTGCTTACTGGAAAACCTGTTTCTAGTTGTGGTGTGGCTTAACCCTAGCACACACCAAGAGCTTTTTGCTCGAGTATTGTAAACAGGTAAATAAAGTTAACCATAGGTCAAGAGGCAGAGCAAGCAACCAGTTGACAGGAAATGAACACAGGAAAAAAACAGTAAGAATAATTCAGGAGGATGGATAGAGGCATGCAAAAGAATGGACATTCAGCTTGAGGGTATTTGAGATGGCGACAGGGAGAGCTTTTTCCTTTTGGGATATCAGCTGAGGAGGAAGATCAGCTGGGTGCTTTGTCTTTCTGAGCTAGCAAGCTTTTACCCCAGGATCGGATTCCAAGTCTTTATTGGTAAAATCGAAGATTTGAGATGTTTAAAAAAAAAAAAACATTTGGTGTTCCCAATGTGTGGCAGAACCACACCAACAGAAATCTTGCCAGCTACAGACCAAACTGAGAAACCATCAGATTTGGTAAATCACCTGGAAAGTCCTCAAGGAGAGAGTTAAGGCTGGGAAATACATGCCAGGCATTAGGACCCTGAATAGTACTACTTTACATGGCTTAAGAACAGAAGCAGAAAATAGACAAATGACTTAACTGAGATTGATAGAATACTAATTATAGTCACTATCAGCCCAGAAATTGATATTTTAATAGGCATTAGTGACTTTTTGTGCCCTCTCAAAAAAGGGGGGGTTGTTTTTTTGGGGGGGCTTGAGAAAGGGATGAAAACTTTGTTGATAAGTGTCTCTAATTCTTCTTCTAAGGCTTATCTTATTAATAAAAATGAGAAAAATACTCTGATGCTGGCAGAGTTGTTTAGACAAGGACCTACCATGCCACCAAATGATGAAACTGAAGATGGGTGGCCAAGGTTATTAGAAAACAAACTTGACCTCACAGAGATATGCCTGTCCTGAATGCTGGCATCAAAGGCATGCACCACCACACCTCACTGAAAATTTTTCTAGAGATAAAAAGGAGGGGGGACCTTCCGGAGTATGCAGAAGGTGTGGTAAAGGACAGCATTGGGAGAGTGAATGCAAACCAACAAGGAACAGGCAAGATAACTCTTTGCCATCACGAAACACCATAAGGGGCCTCCCACAGGCCCCAATATCAAATTTGATTCAATCATTCCCTGTCAGTATTGGACATTTTCATTCACAGGGCAATTAAAATATTTAATTCCTATTGTATACATTAAAAACACACACACAGAGCAGCTCCAGTACATTAAAAAAAGAAAAAAAGACCAGAAAACAAGTATTTTGGCAAACTTCTATAAATGATCATAGACCAAAATACAAATAGCATTGAAATTGAAGGTTTAGTAAACCCAGGAGCAGATGTAACAATTTCAGCAAAATCTTGACTTTCAGATTGGCTTTTTCAGGAGGTATTCAGCTTCTAGGGATTGGAACCTTATCTCAGGTGAAACAAAGTACAAGATGGGTCCGGTGTATAGGGCCAGAAGGACAAACAGGAAAATTCAAGCCACATGTGGCTAACATAGCCATGGATTTATGGAAATGTGATTTGTTGCAGCATTGGAAAGCTCAGGTTAACATTTCTCTAATCTCAGAAACCATAAAAAGAATGTTTCTAGGGGGGTATTATCAAGAACAGTCACATGTAGGCACAGGGTATTGTGTAATTCAAATGCTGATTTCTGTACTCCCCTCCCCCAATATCTGGTTGTAATCCTTAAGAATCTTCTGTCTCAGTGTTGTATCAACACTGCTTCCCAATTGTCCCCTGGTATGCCAGCAAAGCAGCTTACAGCCAATCACTGAGCAGGGGTGAGAATAGGGCTGGACTTCCTGCCATCCAGGGGAAGAGTTAGAGGAAGAAGTCCAAGAAGGACCAAGAGAGAGCTCAACAAGGAAAACTACAAAGTGCAAATATCTCTGAGATGCGCATTGGGAAGCAGCCAAATTAGCTTAGAGGGTTAAGAAGAGATTAATAACTGCAGTTATGGTGTTGTGAAACTTATTAAACAAATATAGAGTCTCAATTATTGTGATGCTAGCCAGGTTAAGAGAAAAAGAGAAACAGACCCAGTTTTGTAAAAATAACATTATCACAGGCCATTCAGGCTGTACAGAAGCAGGGCACAGCAGCTGTTAAAGGTACCTTTAAAATGGCTAACTGGCAAACCTGTATGAGTGGAACAATGGCCTATGACAACAAAAAATTACAGGAACTAAAACAGTTGGTACAAGAGCAGCTAAATGCTCAATACCTTGAGGAATCAATAACCTGTGGAATGCCCCTGTGTTATAAGAAAAATCAAGAAAATAGAGGATGTTAAGATTTAAGAGCCATAAATAAGATGATTCAGCCAATGGGCTCTTTACAGCCTGGAATCCCATTGCTCTTCTTTATTACCCAAGTCATGGCCTTTGATAGTTAATCAGTTTAAAAGATTGCTTTTTCACAAACCCTTTGCATAAGCATGATAGGGAAAGTTTGCTTTCTCAGTACCTACTTATAGTAGTTGTCCAACTAAGATATCATTGGTGGAACTAGAAAATATCATCCTGAGTGAAGTAACACAGGCCCAGAAAGATACGCATGCTATGTACTCACTTATAAGCAGGTATTAGCCATGAAGTACAGGATAGCGTTCTACAATCCACAGACCCAAAGAAGCTAAGTAACAAGGGGGGCCCAAGGAAGGATGCTGAAATTTCACTAAGAAGAAATAATAGACATCTGAAGTAGTTGGAGGGAAGGAACGGGGTGAGAAGCGGGGCGAGGAGTCGGTTGTAGGGAAAGGGGAGAGGGCTGGGAGAGAAGGAACTCAGTGTGGGGCCCTGTGCGCAGGGGGGCTCCCAGGAGTCGAGGATGACCCAGATTCCCAGCAGCAGGAGATTCGGAGCCTGAACTGGCCTCCTGTAACCAGGCTAGACTTCCAGTAGAGAGAGGAGACACCAACCCACAACCTTTGACCCAGACAATCAATGACTGGCCCGAATTAAGTCCCATGCCACGAGAGCGAGCCCATCATTGACACTGTTAATATTCTGCTATTCTTGAGGACAGGCAACTAGGGTAACAGTCACCTGAGTGGCCTCACACAGCAGCTGATTGAAAACAGATGCAGAGACCCACAGCCAAACATTAGGCAGAGCTCTGGGAATCTGATGGGAGGAGGAGGAGGAAGGACTGAAAGAGCCAGAGAGGTCAAGGACACAAGAAAACTACAAAATCAACTAACCTGAACCCATAGGGGTTCACAGGTCCTTAACCACCAACCAGAGAGCAACTATAAAATGGTTCTAGGGCCTCCACACATACCTAACAGATGGACAGTTTGGTCCTCATGTGGGACCTCTAACAGTGGGAGCAGGAGCTGCCTCTGACTGTTGCTGGCCTTTGGATCTCCTTCCCCTACTGCACAGCCTTGTCCAGCCTCAGTAGAAGATAGGCCCAGTCCTACTTGATATGGCAAGGTGGGTTGATACCCATGGGAAGCCTTGTAATAGCAGTTTTGGTTTCTTTAAAAACTCAGAAATGTTATTTAAATGTGTTTTTGTTTTAATCCCAAGTGTGGGATTCTAGCTTGGACTTTAGTTTGTTCAGAGATGATAATTGCCTCATGTAGGGCATGGCCTTTGCCAGCTGGTAACAGCCTGCCTCATGCAACATGGAAAGAGGCATGGCCCAGGGCTCTGAGGGATATAAATAGGAGAGCCCAGAGAGAGAAAGGTGGTGTGTGGCAAGTGGCAGTTTGGAGAGACCAGAGACAGACCCTGTGGAAGCTTGGAGATAGATGGAGGGAAACGTTTCAACACGGCAGCTTGGAGGAGACTGCTGGCTGAGTTTGCTGTTGATGGAGAATCGGTATAGCCCTAAAAGAACCCCCATTGACCCTAAACAGCCAGGAGAAGTAAAGGGGTCTGCGCCCCCTCTCCCCACTAACTTTCTCTTTATTTGGGGTTTCTTAAAGTCTCTCCCTTCCAACCCCTCAACCCCAAATAAAGATACCATTGGGAAGTCTTACCACAAGAAATGTTTAACAGCCCTACCTTGGGCCAATATTTTGTAAAACAGCCATTAGAAATAATTTATAACCAGTTTCCTCAATCTATAATTTACGATTATATGGATGATTATCTTATTGGCTGATTCAAATGCAGATACCTTAGAAAAAATGTTGAGGTAAAGAGAATTT